AGCCATGCCCTGACTTAGATCAGCCCAGAGGTTGTTTCAGGGTTTGATCTGTGAGTTAGCCATGCCCTGACTTAGATCAGCCCAGAGGTTGTTTCAGGGCATCAATAAAAGTTGAAGGTTTAATCATACCAGGACAGCTGGGTTGGATGCACTCTGTTCGTTCTTCGTATGTTTTCATTCCTGGTTGACATTTAGGGTGTGGTTCCCCCTTGTTGCAATGGCGCACGACTTTAATTGTGCCTTTACCACAGCTGGCACTGCAGTCGGGTGTCTTGGGCTCCAATGGATCGATTTCTTTGTCTAATCTTTCTTCAACCGTGTCAGACAGAAGACCTGTGATATGTGTAATACATAGTGGAAACAATCATCAGACAGACAGACAAACAGGCGAGCAAGAATAAATGCACACCGAGAGAAATGAAAATAGCAATGGTTTGCTCTAATTGTTTGCTCTTCGTCCATCTAGGTAAATGAACATACAGTCAGACAGACAAGTGGATAGCCAGACAGACGGACAGACAGACAAACAGGTGGACAGACAGACAAACAGGTGGACAGACAGACAAACAGGTGGACAGACAGACAGACAAATGGCATGGACAGACAGACAGACAAGCAGACAGTCAGACAAGCAGACAGTCAGACAGATGGACAGGCAGACAAACAGTTGGATAGAGAGACAGACAGACAGACAAGCAGACATGATATTACCTGTGATGCATCCATACAGTTCTACCCTCATGCAGATATTTTCTCCGTACCATGAAAGAGGATAAAACCTGACAAACCGAGCATCAAAGAACTGATTCAACCAGTGGATCTTGATGTTGTCTTTATCCTCGCTTCCCACCAGGGTCTTTGGTAAAAGTAAAATAATAAATAAATAAAGAAAATAAAGATGAAACTGGTTGTGTTAACATTTTACTGACGCCATCAAAGTAATCCGTGATTCGAGAAAAAGACAAGAAAAAGGAAAGAAAGAAAGAAAAAAAGAAAGAAAGAAAGAAAGAAAGAAAGAAAGAAAGAAAGAAAGAAAGAAAG